ACATCAACCACTTTTAAGCGTTCAGAAACCTACAAAGGGGGAAAAAAAATAGAAAAAGACTAATAAGTAATCTTGTCTGTTTTAGAGGTTAAGTACTAGTAGCCTACAGGACAAGTAAACTGAGCAGTATGTGAGTTGTACGTGTGTTTGTTAACCAATGACCAGCATCTTCAAATAAACTATTTTTTCATAAAAATTTTTAATTTCCAGCTTCCCTTGAAAAATCAGAACACTCAGCAATACTCGGCCCCTATTTCCACATGGCAGCAATAAAACTGGTGGAATAGCAGCTGTTTCTTCAGAGGGAACACATGTCCTCCAATTTGTCAAAGTCTCTTCCTGGCTTGATGTTCTCGATGTTACTTGCCCAGCTCTGAAGGCACTGGATTTCCAACCCCTGATCTATTTTTATTTAATGTGATATGCTGCTAGAGAAGATCAGCTGCCCAACATGCATTCTGTAACATGGCCAACATTCCTACCAGGCATTAACTGACTACCGACAGAGATATTAGAAAGGCGAAGTACTACTATTCTGACATTGTGGGTGCATATGTAAGCTCCTCTTTAATTATGTTCAAGATATTTCAAATGTGAGCCTAAAATATCTAGAAAAACATGGAGTTTAACGGTGAAGTATGGAAAGTAAAGTTGAATTTTTAGAGCAACAACAACCCATTTCTCACTAAGTTTCTACTTTCAAAGAATGGAACGTAACAGCTGGTCTCACTGAGAAGACATCTGGGCTAAGAAAAGACAGGGAAGAGGGAAGGAGCCACAGGGCTGTGTAGGAGGGCGTTCCAGACAAGACAGCAAGTTCAAAGGCCCTTGGGGATGCTTGAAGAACAGCAAGAAGCTAGTAAGTAGAGTGGGATGACAAGTGTGGAGCAAGAACCATGGGGTAGGGTAGCAAGGTAGGGGCACAGGACAGACTGCGGGGGGCTCTGGAGGCCCTGTGACAAGGGTCTGAAACAGCGGAAGACCATGACCTACATTTTTAAAGGATTATTCTTGTGATTCCAATAAGCCAGGCAAGAGGCTAGGAGACAGAGGGTGATGGTGGTGAAATTGGTAAGAAATTACTGATACTGGACTATATATTCTGAAGTCAGGGTAGATAAAGTTACTAACAGATTGAACGTGGGTGGGGAAAACAGATGAGTCAGTGCTAACTGAGGATTCTGGCCTGAGACACTAGAAGGCTGGTGCTACCATCTAGGAGAGAGGAGGAGGAGATTCGGGACGTGTTAGGTGTGAGGTGTCTGTCAGACAGCTGAAGAGATGTTAAACGTGCACTTGGATAAATGAGCCTGGCACTCAAGGGAGGGGCCTTCCAAGTGAATTGTGGGAGGCCTCAGCATACAGTATTTAAAGCCATAGGATTCCACATATTCACCAAGTGAAAAAATGTAGCCTAAAAAGGGAAGATGCCAAGGACAGAGGCCTAGAATGCCACTTTTAAGGAGAAGAGGAGTACATAACAAAGATGAGTGAGAGAGAGAAAGAGAGAGAGAGGGGCTGGGTGAGGACATTCAAATTTAGATCATTCCTCCCTGTACGGCACATAATGTCATATCCCATGTCTTATCAATGGTCCCTGTCTCCCTTCTTGTACAATCCAGAGAAATATTTTTATCAACTATATTGTAAATGCAAGTTTTTCAGTAGCTCTAGAAACATTTTTAAAAATGCTTGAGGACATTCAAATTTAGATAATTCCTCCCTATACGGCACAAGTGGCTCTTGTCCACATTTAAATGGTTAAGTCACTGATGAAATAAAGGTCACATATATTTGCTGAAGATGGTGCGTAGGGATCTGTTAGGTCATCGGGAAAGTCATGATGAATTTTCCTGTTTTTTTATGTATCATGACTTTCCAGACAACCCAATGTTCACTTGTTAAAATAATGCAATTATAAACAGTAAAAGAAATCATGAGTTATAAAAGCGCCAACATTTGATGCCAGCAGGTAGTGTAGTGGTTAAGGTGCTGGACTCCCACGTAGCTGACCATGGTCCGAGTACAGATGCAGAGGATTGAGAATCATGCCGGTACGTGTGCATGTGTGCACAAAATCCCAGGAGGAGAATGGAGGAGAAAGGACACTGTGGCATGGCCCTCTCTCCTGAGGGGTGATTTCTCACCTTCCCTCTCACTGTCTCTCTAGCAAGCACACACGTCCTATGACAAAAACCTTAAAAACAACAATAAATATCAATACTTGATCTTTCCAAACTGAAATATGGATAGATCTTTACTCAAATAAAACTTCCTATAAAATTAAATATTCCTAACAAAACAGAAGTTTTTTTTTTAACAAAATAAAAACATAAACATGTACTTACCTCCAAAGATTTAAGGAATGGCAGTGACTCAATAAAGCTCTCATACATTTTTCTCTTTTTGGCATTGTTTTTTACAATTATTCTCCTGAAGGTTACCCTGTCCTAAAGGCAGAATATAAAATACAAAGACCATTAAAAGGTAAATTTTTATGGGGGTGGGGGAATTCTGAACAAATAATTCTATTTTATTCTTTACATGGAACAACAATTGAAGATTTTGAAATGAAAGATTAAAATCATTACACTTCTAATGCAACTCCCGTGATATTTTTACCTCATTCAGGACAAAATATAGCATAGAACCATATAAAATATGACTTGCTTTTTTTTTTTTAACAAAAGAAACATCAGTTTGCTTTTATTCTAACATTAGTTTAACTAACATGTAATTAGGTTATATCCACAAGGAGGCGCTATCACACCATTTAAAAACACTAGTACCACATTCCCTTATTGTGGATGGCAGTCCTAGAGGGCTGTGAAATCAATGAGGTGGAACATGACTAGCATTTCAGAAACAAGGTAGAACAGAACATCTCAAAGTACATTTCTCATAGTAGAACTGTTTTGTTCAATATGTATTTCCATCATACACAAAGACAAACAAGTACACAAGTCATGATGTTTCTGTGTTTTGTAATATAGTTTGTAGGATTAAAAAAAAAAGCATTAAAAACACTATTAAATTTTTTTAAAACAAAAAGCAAATATAAGAGAAATCTTGAAAAATGATAGACTCTGGGTTATTTTTCATAACCACATTATGTCAGAATTTTCTTTTTTAAAAATGTGAAACCACCAAGAAACTATAACTTTCTTAAGGTTGAATTCCAGTGTTGATCATGTTCATACTCTCAAATGTGCCTGTTTATGTTTATGCTACATGACCTCAAAGAGGTCAGCTGAAAAACTCACTACATTGTTAGAGGTAACAGCTCAAAATTGATTTTTTAAAATAATTATTTTATTTCACTTTATTTTTAATTTGACCAGAGAGGAACAGAGAGAAAGAGAGAGAAAGAGACAGAGAAAGAGAGAGAGAAAAAAAGCAAGCCGCCAGGTATGGGACTTGAACCACAGGTGGCCACGAGAGTGCCCTTAACCACCACACTACCTGCCAACTCCCAAAATTGATTTTTCTAAAAATTTTATTTTGAAAAAATTCTTACAAAAATAAAAGTCCAAATAATTATACTGATAAACAGTTACACCACTGTAATAAAATACCAATTGGGATATGTTATTTAACTAATAGATTATGATGCCAAGATACTAAGGTGGAATTTAAATGAACAAGTATAATGGGGAGAAACGTCAGTATGCATTTAAGTCTCTAGGTTAATGAACTAAATGCTTGTATTCTCCCAAATCTATGTTAAAATCCTAACCAACCCCAGACATGATAGAATTAGGCAATGCAGGCCTTTGTAGTGATTAGGTCTTAAGTGTGGAGCCCTCCTCAAAGAGATCTCAGAAAACCCCCTCACCCCTTCCACCAGGTGAGGACCTAGAAGGTAACAGCCATCTGTGAATCAGAAAGCAGGCCCCAGCAGACAGTCTTCAGTGGCTTGATAGATTTCTCAGCGTTTAGAACTATAATAAATGTTTAAGCCACCCATTCTCTGGCAGTTTGTTATAGCAGCCCAGATGAACTAGACACCAAGAAATTAAATGTCTTATTCCTCAATTTATTATAACTTTGGTACTGGCTATAATTTTTACTTAATTATTTTTTTAGAAGATATACTATTACAAGACAATTAGCAGAAATAATTAAGTCCAAGCCTAGTTCTGCACCCTCATCAGCTATCACATTAAGAAAGATGGCTGAAGAGTTCCAGCAGCTTGTGCGGCGGGAGGAGCGGTAGGGTTTATCCGCTCAACTCCACAAAGGCTCTAGGCGCGCCACGGCCTCATCAGGCACCCAGCAGGCACGCACCCTGTCTGCAGCCAAGATGCCCAAGAGGAAGGTCAGCTCGGCCGAGGGGGCGGCCAAGGAAGAGCCCAAGAGGAGATTGGGGAGGTTGTTGGCTAAACCTCCTGCAAAAGTGAAGATGAAGCCCAAAAAGGCGTCAGGGAAGAATAAAGCTTCAGACAAAAGAGTGCAAACAAAAGGGAAAAGGGGAGCAAAGGGGAAACAGGCTGAAGGGGCCAACCGAGACACTAAAGAAGATTTACCTGCAGAAAGTGGAGAAACTAAAAATGAGGAGAGTCCACCCTCTGATGAAGCAGGCGAGAAAGAAGTCAAGTCTGAGTAATGTCATATCCCATGTCTTATCAATGGTCCCTGTCTCCCTTCTTGTACAATCCAGAGAAATATTTTTATCAACTATATTGTAAATGCAAGTTTTTCAGTAGCTCTAGAAACATTTTTAAAAATGCTTGAGGACATTCAAATTTAGATAATTCCTCCCTATACGGCACAAGTGGCTCTTGTCCACATTTAAATGGTTAAGTCACTGATGAAATAAAGGTCACATATATTTGCTGAAGATGGTGAGTAGGGATCCCACCTCATCCCATTTTTTAAGTGTAAATTTTTTTTTAAGAGGTGAAACCATTTACTGGTTGTTTATTTTTCAGTACAACCAGAAAAGAGTGGGATATTGACTTCTAGGAGGCTTTGACTCTTTTGCGTGCCAGGTTAATATTCCATAGGTGGGGGCGGATGGGTAGTTTTTATATCCTAAATACAAAGCATACTAAATGGCAGTTTGGAGTCACAGTCATGCACTTAATGTGTCTTGAATATTTTAAATTACTTCTATTATGTTTTTTAGTAGTATTGTTTCCTAAAGAAAACCACTCTCTGATTGTTGCTCTCCCTGTCAGAATTGTGTGCACTCTGTAACATCTTTGGTCGTGGTAGTCCAGTTTTCCTAATAATTTTGTTACTGTGCTGTGAAAGATTGGAAATTTGATGTAGTGTGTATGATAATACATTGTGATTTGGTGGGACTTACATAACAGCTTTCAACATCTGAAGACAATGGTTCTTGATATCCTCTTAAGGAAAATTTGCCTACAAATTTGAAGCTGGAATGTTGCTGGAATAACTTAAAAAGAATCGCTATACTTGGCTTTTTAAATTTTTGGTACATATGTTAAGAAATGGGTACAAATTGAAATGTCTGTACTGAGTCTTGACATAACCAATAAATCTCAATTACAAAAAAAAAAAAAGATAGCTGAGGGGACCAGCAGTTAGTGTAATGGCTATGTCGCTGGACTCCCATGTAGTCGAACACAGTTCGAGTCCCGGACCCGGTGGCTTAAAATCATGCTAGGTGCGTATGCGTGCGTGCCCAAGATCCCGAGAGGAGACTGGAGGAGAAGGGATTGCGGCATGGCCATCCTCCCTTAAGGGTGATTTCTCGCTTTCTGTCTCTCTTTGTCTGTCTGGTGAATGCATGCACCCTGTAGCAAAAAAATAAATAAAATTAAATTAAAAAAAAAATAAAGATAGCTGAGATGTTAGCTGGGTAACCTTGTAGGTAAGGGACCATATCTCACATGGCCAACCACAGTTCAAATTCCAAGTCCAGTGGCTTGAAAAACATGCAGGCACTTGTGCATGCCCCAAATCCTGACAAGATGGAGAAGTTCAGGAGAGGGGACTGTGGCATAACCATGCCTCATGGAGGGATGCCTTCCTCCCACCCCATACCCCTTGCTTTGTCTGTCTCTCTCTGGTGAGAGCATGCACCCTCTGACACTTAAAAAAAAAATCTGAGATCCTAGACTTTATGATTCAAAATCTCTGCATTAAGGGCTTAATAAGCTACATTTCATAAAGCCTCTTCAAATGATTCTGGTATGAAATCAGTTTTGGGAACCAGGTACGACACCATTTGATGAGCAGAGTTTATTGTAAAATACAGAAGACCTAAAACAGTTTAGCAATTTAGAAATGAACCGTAATGGTTATCTTTCTTAGGAAGTATTTTCTATTAGTGACCAAATCTTCACACCCACTATGACATATAAAGTCCAGAAAGTCCAATTTTAAATGCTTTCCTCCTACATATTTCTGTAATCACCTCTTTGAAGTACCAGCAGGTTAGTTAATCCCCTAAGACAAACAGTGACAAGTATTATTTACAGAATTCACTATTCTATGAGGTGGGAGGGTCTTCTAAAACTTCATGGAAGATGTCTATGACAAAAAAAAAAAAAAAAAAAGCATGAGTTTTAAAATTTTTTTCTCATAACTAAACTCGTGAGCCAGGCTGGTAATGCAGTGGTTAAGCACTGTGCAGAGGGAGCCAGATTCCACATGGCCTACCATGGTTCAAATCCTGGCCCTGGGTGTGCATGAGCCCAAGATCTTGATGGGATAGAGAAATGGAGGAAAAAGGAGTGCAGCGTGACTATGCCCCATGGTGGGTTCCTTCTCTCTCTTCTCTTTCTCTCCTTTTTGGGCATAGGAACATGCCCTCTGGCATAAAAACAAAAAGATAAAACAAACTTGTACTTTAATTCCAGTTTTCCATGCACTTTTTAAAGTCCCCATGGATAAAGAACCTCTTGATATCTGCTTATCTTTACAGCAGCACTTACATGGCACAACTCCAGAATACTGATCGCAAAAATGTCTTTTCTATTTGACGTTCCCTGAGAAGGGCTTGGTTAGGCAAGTTGCTCTTAAAAAGCAGGTTTGAAATATGAAATAATGTTAATTATTCTAATTTTTAAGAAAACTACTGTACTTATACACATACCCCAAGGTGATTATCACAAATTGCCCACTTTTATAAAGATTATTAACAGACTAACAAGCTCTGAAAATGGGTTTTGGGAGGTTAAGTATTAAATATACTGAGAAAGTTTGGGCCTTTTATACCAAATTAAGGGATCTGCCAGGGCTGAAAACTACCAATGTTCAAAGAGGTCAATCAGCAAAATATTTGATCCTGCATGGAGAATGAGCAAAGTAGGAGGCGCCCTTACTGTGTTGACAGTCTGATCCTGGCTGGCAACCCAGTTGGGATGACTAAATTTTCAAATTATACCTTCCTAATGAAACAGATCATGGTAGACTCCAGATTTAGCCCAGCACTTTAACAACACATAATCACTTCCTGTGGACCAAGGTCTGCCCTAGTTTGGAGTTTTTCTTCACTGGCTTTGGGAACTCACATCTTTGACAAGACTTCAAATACTTCAAGCAAGGAGTTTCCTTCCACCTGAAACATTTCCAACTTTTCTTCTACAACTTAAAAAAGGGATGCCACGTTTTTAGTAAGTATACAGGAACTGCCTGATTTTAATAAAGACATGTAGGGCCAGCTCTGTGACAGGGCAGTAACGTGCTACTCAAGAGCATTCCTCAGATTCCACAGGGTGACTGGGGTTTGAATCTCTGGCCTGCTCACCCTGAAACATGCCAGACACACGTACTTGTGCCCACGACCTGATGGGCTGGACGCCTGGAACAAGGGGATTGTGGCTTGATCAGATCCTCGTAGAGGATGGTGCTCCTTTCTCTTACCATGTGCACACTCTATCAGGATTAAAAGAAAATTAAAGATTAAAAGAAATTTTAAAAAGAAAGATAGGAAAAATGTCCTGCTTCTCTGATTAAGAGATATCTTTATCAGCTAAGTCTATTTAGGAATCAAATGCTGAGTTTTGGTTGAATAATGTGTAACTTCCACAAACCAGCAGATGGCATAATGGATACATTGCTGGACTCTCATATAGTTGACCAGGGTTCAGGTCCCAGACCCGGACGCTTAAAACTCACACCAGGCGCATGTACGTACATGCCCAAAATCCCAAGAGGAGAATGGAGGAAGAAAGGACTGAGACATGGCCATTCCCGCCCCCCGCTCCCCGTGATTTCTCTTTCTTGTCTCTCCACTGAGTGCACATGCCTTATAGCAAAAATCTCTCTTAAAAATAAAAATAATGTGTAACTTCCATAAAACTATAGCCCTTGGAAATTAGACTGCTAACATATTTGACATTATTTTAAACTCTTCTCCTGCCACAAGAGGATCTAAGAGAAATTACCTAATAGATTTATGTCAAAACTATAGGTTGGTCAGCACTGGCATCTCCTGGGAGCTTATGAGAAATGCAAAATCACAGGCCCCACCCCAAACCAAATACTCATTGTAACTAGATTCCCAGGTGATCTGTAAGCACAGTAAAGTCTGAAAATCACTACCTTAGATACAATCTTCCTGTCTACTTTAGTAGAATGTGATACTTTGCATCCTGCTATCCATGTAAAAAGAATCTACCTCCTTACCTTCACGCCACCCAAACATGTCTTTAAATCAACTTTAAGTCTTACAGAGGTGGTATCATTTGGAAATTTATTTAAAGTTCCTAACATCCAGGTCCCACTGTTGGAGAATCTGATTAAATTTGTGGGATTTGACAAGAAGATTTTATTTTTTTTTAATTGTCAGGGGGCATATGCACTTTGTGGGTGTGGGGGGCAGTAACTCCATTGGGGTGGGGTCACACCATAATCTCTTCTCTTCCATCCCTCCTTCCTTGAGGCATTTTGGCCATGCGTGCACACACACCCTGTGTGTTTTTCACGCCACTAAGTTTGAGACTTGAACCACACACAATCAGTCATGTGCAATCTAGCTGCCTTTAACCACCAAGTTACCAACTGGCCCAACGGCAACTTATTACCAATTGATTAATATCACTAAGACAGTCAGTTTATAGTAGCTATCAAACCATGTATCAGAATCCCCTGGAAGGCTTACTCCAAAACAGACTGCTGGCTCCACCCCCAGAAGTACATACCTCAGAAAGCCAGCTGAGAACAAGCACAGAAGGCTTTGTTTATGTGGCTAGGTTTGTTTCTTTTCTTTAATCATTTTATTTAACTTCCTTCCTTTTCTTTCTTTCCTTCTTTCCTTCTTCCTTCCTTTCTTTCTTCCTTCCTTCCTTCCTTCCTTTTCTTTCCCTTTCTTTCCTTTAATTTGACCAGAGGGACAGAGTGAAAGAAAGGGAGGGAAAGTGAGAAAGAAAGCCGCCAGGTCCATGACTTGAACCATGATCGGCCATGTGGGAGTTCAGTGCCCTTAACCACTATGCCATTTGCAGGCCCTGTGACTGGTTGTGTAAGAGTGGGTGAAATGTGGAGCATTGTGGATCTGCGTATCTTTCCCATGGCCAGCTGGTTCCACGCTCCTAATTTGACTGGAGAAAAGGGGGAAAGATATGACTCAGCACATTTTTTAGTATCTAAGTGCATGGGGTAGTTGCTTAATGAATTCCATGATCACTGATGATCCCAAATAATTCTGCCTATTAGAATTAAAATACTGAGGCCAGCAGGTGGCATAGTGGTTGAGGTGCTGGACTCCCACATGGTCAACCAAGGTTCAAGTCCTGGGCCTGGTGGCTTGCTTTCTCACTCCCCTTCTCTCTCTCTTTGTCATTCTGGTTAGTGTACGTGCCCTATAGCAAATTTAAAAAATAAATAAAAATTTTAAAATTAAAAAAAAAAACACTGTATGTACTTGGCTTAGTTATAATGATTTTTAAAATTTTTGCCACAGGGTACATGTGTTCACTGGAAAGAGAAAGAAAGTGAGAAGAGGGCAGTGAGAAAGTACTACCCATGGAAAATAGTCATGCTACAATCCTTTCTCCTCCATTTCACACTTCCTTCAGGATTCTGGATATGCATATACGTCCAATGTGCTTTTCAAGCTGCTGAGTCTGAGACCCAAATCGTACAGTCAGCCATGTGGGATACAACCACCCTAACCACCATGCCACCAGCTGGCCCTGTCTAAGGATTTTTACAAACAACATTCAGGTCAGAGAAATATTTTACTTACCAAACCCCACAGAGCACCAGGAGAGGTAGCAGTGATTGTAGCTGCTCTGGGTGTATTGTACATTAAGGCCAGTTCGCCAAAACTCCCACGATTATCGTAGTTACCAACACATCTTCCAACACCATCGCATTTTACATAAATATCAAATGTTCCTCTGTTGGACATATGTAAATTAGAGGTAAAAGTAATTCACATAACATCTCATGACAACATTATTTCAGAGATGAGCCCTGAGCAGGAGGATCTTAATTCCAGCCTGTCTAACCTCTCTGCTGACTACAGATAATAAAAGGGTGTCAGTATGTGCCAGTCTGTTCCAGATCGGCATGAAGAGAACATCGACTAGACTAGGGTAAGGGCCAGACATGTGCCTGCTGGAGAAAATGGAACAAAACAATACAACTTAAGACAGTAATATAAAGGATAGAAAAATAACTGAAACTACAATCAAATGCTGTATGCATAGGTAAAATAATCTGAAGGCACATATTTCAAACCACTGATTAGTCATGTCAGAGCATAAAAACAGTGAGGGACTTCAGAGGCAGCTACTATCTAATTTAAGAGTTTCTGTGTCTAAAATGAACATGTATTACTTTTATTATAAGAATAAAATAACTTTTTAAAGAAAAGCTATAGCTCTAACGCTGGTTAGTTCATACTCTTCAGAAGTTACAAGGGTCCTTTACAATCTACAGCAGGAGTTGGCAGACTACAACCCACTAACTGGCTCCTGCTTTTGTAAATAAAGCTTTACTGGATTATAAACACACTTGTTTGTTTACGCATTATCTACGACTGGTTGTATGCTTACAACAGCAAAATTAAGGAGAGACAACAAAGACTATGGCCCACAAAGCCTAAAATACTTACTCTCTGGTCCTTGACACAATATGCCCTTTACATCAACTCCCAATTCTAAAGTGAAAATTGTAGTTGTAGAAATTCAGACTAAATATCTGACCCTGGTCTGTTTAATAGTTTTCTGTGCTCATCTTTCTTTTATTTTTCTTTTTAATTTTTTAAATACAAATAAACTCATATTTGAATTCCATTTTCCAAGAACATTTTAAAGTCTGCTTGAATTGTGATTTTAAATGTGTAATACTATTATTTTCATTATAATAGCATCTACTACATATGAATACTATTACATACTATTGGGTTGCCGGAAAAGTCATGACGCATTTTTAAGATAGAAAAAAATACATCATGGGAACCAGCAGTTAGCGTAATAGCTATCTCGCTGGACCATGGTTCGCATCCCGGACCTGGTGGCTTAAAACTCACGCCAGGCGCATGTGAGTGCGTGCCCAAGATCCCAAGAGGAGAATGAAGGAGAAGGGATTGCGGCGTGACTATCCCCCCTGGGGGGTGATTTCTCGCTTTCTGTCTCTATGTCTCTGTCTGTCTGGCAAGCGCACGCGCCCTTTAACAAAAATCTCTCCAAAAAAAAAAAATTAAAAATTAAAAAAAAAGAAAAAAATACATCATGACTTTTCTGATAACCCAATATTTCTCAAATGAAACTTACAAATGCAAATGCTCACATTAAATGACTGAGATTTTATAAATTAAACTAACCAAAAATCATCAGCTCTTCTACAAACTATGCCTCTTTTCATGATCCGTGAAAAGATTAGTGGTTTCACTGAATGTACTCACATCAGGTTTACAGTGACTTTTATGTAGTAGTAAGAGGACAGAAGCACAACAACTATGTATTAACTTGTCTGCTATCGTAATAACCACAGAGATTTTACGCAAAAGGTTCTTTAAATTTCAATAGTGAGATTGGGCAAAACTTACCTATCGATTACATAAAAGTTGTCACCATCATCTCCTTGATCAATTACATGCTCTCCTTCTTTGACCAATTTTTCAAACATGGCATCTAATACTTGAGACATCTGCTCCTGTTTTTCAAAAAGATATAATCTTTATCAAGAACATGTTTTAAGTAACCATAGTTACCTTTTATATTCCTGTGAACAAACTCAAAGAAATGGAAATCTCATCACTGCCATTAAGTCTTATCAGAAAAATAAATACAGTCTTCTTGCTATATACAAACAAGATGATTATAGATTTACTTTCATTTTCTGTATCTGAATGGAAGTAATTGTAATTACTCTATTTCAGAATATTTGCAACGACCACCACTTTAAAATGAAAAATTAACCACCAAACTACCATATACTTCATGAAACATAATCTTAGCAACTAAAATGACCATGTTTGAAAGAAATATTTTGAATTTCTGTTGAAGATGCTCATCTTTAAAACTTCTGGGGCCAGCCTTATGGCCTGGTGGTTAAGGGAGCTAAATCCTACATGGCTGACTACATGGTCTAAATCTCAGCTCAAATGGCTTGAAAAATATGCCACACGTATGTGTGTGTGTCCCAAATTCCAAAAGGATAGAGGAATGGAGAAAAAGAGACTGTGGCATGACCATGCCTCATTGGGGCTTCTTTCTCCCTTTCCCTCTCGATAGTGCATACACCTTCTGGCAGCTGAAAACAAACAAAATTCCCATACATTAACCATCACTAGAATTTATACAGGGATTACCTAAATACTTGCTAAGTTTAGATCCTGTCTCCAACACTTCTTTTTGGCTTAGCACCAGAAAAAAAAAAAGAATGAACTAGAAAAACAACAAAAGCAAAACCAGGAATGACTGAGGCAAGTACTCTGTCACTATTCTTTGTCATTAAGGTTCTTTTCAAAAAGCAACCATTTATCTCACTAGGCAGATTTGTCAAAAACATCAAAACTAAAAAGTTCTACAAGATTTCTATCCTGCCAAAATGTGGTTAACAAGGCTTAAGGATAAATTTTAGAAATAAGAATCAACTAAAAGGTGACAGAAATCTTTACTCATAATAAATACAGGAACAATAGCAAGAACTTTGAATATAGAAAGCAAATGGATACAGAAAAAGTTTCATACTAGAATGGTTTCACTGCCCTAAAAATCCTCTGTATTCAGTCTATTCATCCCTCCCCCCCAACTAAGCCTGGCAACCAGTAAGCTTTTTTACTGCCTCCAGTTTCGCCCTTTCAAGAATGTTGCATAGTTGAAATTACACACTAGCCTTTCAGATGGGCTTCTTTCGCTTAGTTTCTCTCTTCAAGTTTCTCTCGTGTTTTTTGCAGCTTGATAGCTCATTTCTTTTTAGTGCTGAGTAATATTCCATTGTTTGGATGTACCACGGTTTATTCATTCACTTACTGAAGTACATCTTAATTGCTCCCAAGTTTTAGCAATTATTTTTTACAAAGCCACTATAAACATCTTCATGCAGCTTTTTGCATAAATGTGTTTTCAACTCCCAAAGGGTGTGACTGCTGGAGTGTATGGTAAGAACATGTTTAGTTTTCTATGACATCAGCAAATGGTCTTCCACAGTGGCTTACCATTTTGCATTCTCACCAACAACGTATGAGAGTTCCTGTTGCTTCACATCCTCACCAGTACTTGGTACAGTCGGTGTTCTGGATTTTGGCTTTTCTATTAGGTCTGTAGTGGTATCTCACTGTTGTTTTAATTTCCACTTCTCTGATGACATATGATGTGGGGCATCTTTTCATTGGTTTATTTACCATCTGTATATCTTCTTTAGTAAGATCTGTGGTCCATTTTTAAAATCACGTTGTTTGTTCACTTACTGTTGAGTTTTAAGTGTTCTTTGTATATTTTGGGTAACAGTCCTTTATCAGATGTATCTTTTGCAGGCATCTTCCCCCTGTCTGTGGCGTGTTTTATTCATCCTGTAGACAGTGTCTTTTGCAGCACAGAATTTTTAAATTTTAATGAAGTCCAGCTTATGAATTCTTTCTTTCATGGATCATGCCATTAGTGTCATGTCTAAAATGTCACCACCAAATGCAAAGTCATCTAGATTTCCTATCTAGATGACTAGTCATGCTATCTTCCAAAATTCTTCTAAATCTAGTCATGTTTTCTTCTAAAATTTTATAGTTCTGTGTTTTCTATTTAGGTCTACGATCCATTTTGAGTTAACTTTTGTGAAAGGTGTAATGTATAACTAGATTTCTTTTTAAAGCGTATTTCTTTGGAGAGAAGGGGCAGGCACAAGAGAGAGATAGAAGGGGAATAAGAGGGAGAGAAAAGACACCCTAAAAGGGTATTAGCATCGTGATCCACCCTTGGCCTCATCCAGCCAGGATCACACACATACATGTGTACCTAGAATGAACAGGGAGACCTTTAACCTGAGACTTTCCCATAGGACTTCAGTGGCATGGAGCACTATATTATTACTGCTGTGCCAATGTCACTTAGCATAGATTCATTTTTTTTGCATGTGGATGTCCAGTTGTTTACCAGCACCGTTTCTTTTTCTTTCTTTTTTTTTTTTTTTGGAGAGATTTTTCACTATAGGGCGCGTGCGCTCACCAGACAGAGAGAGACACAGAGACAGAAAGCGAGAAATCATCCCCCAGGGGGGATGGTCACGCCGCAATCCCTTCTCCTCTTGGGATCTTGGGCACGCACGCACACGCGCCTGGCGTGAGTTTTAAACCACGGGGTCCGGGACGTGAACTGTGGTCGACTACGTGGGAGTCCAGCGACATAGCCATTACGCTAACTGCTGGTTCCCACCAGCACCGTTTCTTTAAAAGATTATTTTTACTCCATTACATTGCCTTTGCTCCTTTGTCAAAAATCAGTCAGTTCCTCATATAGAGCTGTTTCTGAGCTCTCTATTCTGTTCCACCGATCAATCTGTGCATTCTTTTGCTAATACCACACTATTTTGGTAGTATCAGTTTGTCACTATCTACAAAATAACTTGCTAGATTTTTATTGGGATTGTACTGAATATGGGTCAAGTAGGGACAAACTGACATCTTGACAATACTGAGTCTCCCTATCAATGAACATAGACTATGTCTTTCTTTAAAAAAATTTTTTTTATTTCATTTTCTTTTATACATTCAATCACATTATTTGGCTTACAAAATGGATATTTCTTTTTTTTTTTTGAGAGATTTTCGCTATAGGGCGCGTGCGCCCACCAGACAGGCAGAGAGAGAGACATAGAGACAGAAAGTGAGAAATCACCCCCCAGGGGGAATGGCCACACCGCAATCCCTTCACCTCCATTCTACTCTCAGGATCTTGGGCACGCACGCACACACGCCCGGCGTGAGTTTTAAGCCACTGGGTCCAGGATGCGAACCGTGGTCAACTACATGAGAGTCCAGCGACATAGCCATTATGCTAACTGCTGGTTCCCCAAAATGGATATTTCAACAGGTGAACATTTTTATTTCAATTTATCGACTTTTTGATTTCTCTCACCAGAATTTTGTAATTTTCCTCACTTACTGGATTGTCAGAAAAGCCATGGCACATTTTTGCATAGAAAAACAGAAAAAAAAGTCATAACTTTTCCAACAACCCAATAGATCTTGTTAGATCTTGTACATATTTTTGTTAGGCTTATGCTTAAGTGTTTCACTGGTGGAGAAGACGGGTGTGCTGAAGTATAATAAATAACACTGTGTTTTTAATTTCAAATTCCACTTACTTATGCTGATATATAGGAAATCGATTAACTTTTAAATAATGACCTAATATCCTGCTATAATCACTTACTATCTCTGAGAGTTTTATTTTGTTTTGGTTTGGTTTCTGCCAAAGGGCATGTACTCTCACCAGAGAGCAACACAGGAAAGTGAGAAGGAATGCCCGAGGGGATGGCCACACTGTAATCCCCTCTCCTCCATTCTCTTGGGATTCTGGACATGGACAAACATGCGCCCAGAGTGATTTTTAAGCTACTGGGTCTGGGACATGAACCATGGTCAGTTATGTGGGAGACTAGCCCTTAACCACCATGCCACCTGCTGGCCTCAAGTTCTGGGAGTATTTTTGTTAATCCTTTTAGATTTTCTACTTAGATATATCACCTGTAAAAAATGATATATTTCTTCCTTTTCAAAAACTATGCTTATTTCCTTTTCTTATCACATTAGAGCTAGAACTTCTAGGACAATGTTAAAAAGTAGTGGTCAGAGCAAACTAGAAATTTTTTATTGAGCTTAAAATTCATATAACATAAACTTAACAATTTTATTTTTTACTTTATTTCTTCTTTTTAGTTTGCTGTATGGCAGTGTGCTCACCAGGGAGAGACAGAAAGAAAGGGAAAGTGAGAAAACATCCCCCAGGTGGATGGTTACACCACAATCCCTTCTCTTCCGCTCCCCTTGTGATTTTGGGTTTGCATGCATATGTGCCTGGCATGTTTCTGAAGCTGCTGGGTCTAGAACTCAAATAGTGCTGTTAGTCATGTGGGATCCAGCTTAACCACCATGCTACCAGCTGGCCCTATATAATTAGCTTTAATTGCTAACAGAGTACATGTACATGCATGAAAGAAAGACAGAAGAAGGGAAGGGAGGGATAGAAATAGGGAGAGAGGGAGGAAGGGGAGGGAGGAAGAAAGGGAGGAGCAACTTCCACAAGGTTTGGTCACACTGTGATTCCTTTCCTCCAGTCCTCCAGATCCTGGGCACTTACACATGCCTGGCATGTTTCAGGCTGACCGCACTACAAATCTGAACTGCAGTGCCACATGAGATCCCACTTCTCTTGAGCAGTATATTACCACTGTGCCATGTAGCCAGTCACAGACTTAACTATTTTAAAGTGATCAATTCAGTGGCCACAACTATGCAACCACTACCACTACCTAGTTCCAAAATATTTTCATTACCCCAAAAGAAAACCTTGTACCAACCCATTGAGCAGTCACTTGCCACTCTCCTGCCCCACTAAACTCTGGCAACTACCAATCTATTTTCTATCTTTGTAGACTTATTTTTTCCTGAATATTTCATATAACAGAATCATAACCTTTTGTATCTGATTTATAGCACTTAGTGTAATACTTTTGAGATTCATTCCCATTGTAGCATGTATCATATTTCATTTCTTTTCAAGCTGAATAGTATTCCACTGTGTATGTATATACCACCATCTGTTAATTTATTTAACTGCTGATGACACTTGAGTTGTTTCATAGTGCTGCTATGACATTTGTGTACAAGTATTTGCTTAAATGTTTCTTCTGAATTCTTTTGAGTGTACACCTAGATGTGGAGTCACAAGGTCCTAGGGACTGTCTACATTTAAGTTTTTTTTTTTTTTTTTTTTTTTTTAGGAACCACCTAGCTGTTTCCCACAGGAGTGGAACCATTTTACTTTACCAGTAGCAATGTATATAAGGATTCTAATTTCCCCATGTTCTTGCCAATATCTGTTATTTTCCTTTTTTAATTATAGCTATCCCACTAGGAATGAGGTGGTACTTCATTGTGGTTTTGATTTGCATTGCCCTAATGCTGAGAATCTTTTCATTGGAAGTTAGTTAACTGTATATTTTCCTTGGAGAAATATCTATTGAAGTACTTTATCTACTTTTAAATTGTGTTTTTTATTATTGTTGATTGTGTTATTTACATCCTTTGAATAATTTGACCCAATATGGGGCAAATGTTTTCTCCCATTCTGTAGATTGCCTTTTCACTTTTTTGATAATGTCCTCTGATGTTTAAAAATGTTTCACCTGGAACCAGCATATGGTGAAATGGTTATGTTGCTGGACTTCCACATAGTCGACAGCAGTTCAAGTCCCAGACTCCAGAGCCTTAAACTCATGCCAGGTGTGTGTGCATGCATGCCCAAAATCCTGACAGGAGAATGGAGGAGAAGGGATTGTGGCATGGCCATCCCCCCTGGGGGGAGTGATTTCTCACTTTCTGTCTCTCTGTCTCTCCAGTGAATGCACGCAAAAATCTCTCTCTAAAATAAATTTTAAAATAAAAATGTTTCACTTTTATGAAGTTCAATTTGTCTTTTTTCTTTTCTTGTTTCTGCTTTTGTTGTCTAAGAATCCATTGCTAAATCCAAAATCATGAAGACTTACCCCTATGTTATTTAAGCTTTAGCTCTAATATTTTAGGTCTTTAAGGTTTTTTTTTTATTTTTTCATATTGTATATGGGGTGAGGTAGGAATTCAACTTTGTTCTCTTTTGTGTGTGACTGTCCAGCTGTCCCAGCACTATCTGTTGAAGAGCCTATTCTTTCCCCATTGAATGGTTTTGGCATCGTTGTTAAAAATTGATTGGCCATATATATAAATATTATAGCTTTACTTGTGCACTCCCAATTCAATTCCATTTTTACTATGGCTTTGTAATAAGTCTTTAAATTGGGAAGTATAAGTCTTGTAACTTTAATCTTCTTTCAATATTGTTTTGGCTATTTGGAGCATCCTCTGTTACATACACAATTTTAACATAAGAGACAACGGCAAAACATTAACATGTTTTCATGGTTTAGTGTTATAATACATTAATGCTACAAAACTTTCATAAATAAATTAATACTGATAGCAATTATTTTTAAAAATAATACAGAGTCTCTATAAACTTTGACATGTTCTTAATGAAAAGTGAAAAGCAGGGCAGAATACTGTGTAGATTTTGCTGCCGCCAAAAATCTTTAAAAGAATACACTGGCATATGAATTGCATAACCATGGAAAAAACACACGACAGTACTAAAAGAACTTGGTTCCTGAGAAACTAGGTTTTTGGGAGACAGCTATTTCCTTTCTTTGACTACTGTTTTGTTCTTTTTGAATTTTTGTAAATTGGATATTGATTTAAAATGTTTAATTAAAAAAATCAAATTTTATTGGGACACGGAACATAATTTTGCATCTTCTTGTGAGGTAAGAAAAACTCAGGAGAATGATGATGATGCATTGGCAGGAAGTGGTTTCATCCCCTTCTTGGGTCTCTGTGTGAGCTCTGGCACCTATTTGTGGAACAGCAGCCAGGGCTAAAGATGAAGCCAATGTGGCAGTAAAACAGAGCTTTCTTGATGTCATGCTAATTGGCCCCCTGGGGACCACTTTACCAAAATGAGTTCAACCCAGGCAACATATGGTCACCTATCACAATTCTGAAGGGTGATATGTATTTTATTTTGCTTGCTATTTATATTTTAATTCTTTCAGGGCAGGTAGAACAGGATATAAGCATTGATTGGTTCTAAAATATCAAATGGGGAAAAAA